TATGTTTCACAGAAAAAATAATTAATGGTACAGATAAACAAAGATCAGATTAAAGAGAGAGAAGAGAGGATACCACTCACAAGAATCTATTCATCGTCAAAATGTTGGTTTCATCATCTTTTACGGTGTCTCAGCCGCCGTAACAGTAGCCTCGTCTTGACGCATTGAGAAGGTATCTTCGTCTAGAGACAGAGGGAGCTGATGAGCGGATACAATGACTAAAAATTCAGTAAGGATAGTATATTTTCTTAATTTCAGAAATGCAAAATTGAGATAATGGGGGCTGTAGGCTAGCGAGAAATTTCACAGCAAGGCAGGATCAAATTTCGAACGTACCGCACAGGATCAAGGTCAAGTTTAGGAGCTGGGTGCCCACGTGGTGAGCATACCATCGAGGGAATTCTCGACGCTCGATTGGCTGTGGCCATATTCAGTCCTGTGCAACCTGACCTGACCTGACCTGAACTGAGCAGAACTGGGCTCACGTTACCATCCGGCACCCCCTTCGGCGATTTTAGTTAAAATGAAATTACTACTCATAAGTAATATAATAATAATTAACAATAAATAAAAAAATAATAATGAAAAAATAACCTCATAAGTAGTAAATTATATTTAACAAGGATACAACTGCGCAACATGTTTCAAATAAATGTCAATATTCTTGCTAAACGTCTGTACATAAAACTTAAACCACATTCGATACTGCACTTCATCTAGATGTTCCCATATCACATCTCCGACCGACCCCGTAACGTTTTTCAAGCGCCTTTTAATGTGGCTGCAAAAGGACTCAACGTTATTCGTATGAACACCAGTTATGGGGTTGACGAAACCGTCTGTGTGGTTGACACACATATGTATGTAACCTAGGGCACATAGTGATCTGTAGGCTGCCCACTGATCGGTGTAAATTATGGTTCCAGGTTTCACCCAACTTTGGACAATGGGCAAGAGAACCTCCGCAGAGCGGTTATCTACCCTTTGGAAATATCCTTTTCTCAGATTTCGGTCGTACATCCCGGACATCCACACTGTGGGTGCCAGACGACCTCTACCATACTTACTTTTGACAGCGACACTTTCATCCACTTCCACAGTGCTACCGACACCACCCAGTTGGGTTGGTAGTGAACACATCACTGAAGAACACACATCTCTGCAATAAGTGTACCACTGAATTGAACTCTTGCGTGAAACATTTGCCATAGCAGCGGCACGTGTCACTGGTTCCTCCATCACAAAGTAGAACATTAATTCCATTAGAGTGGTTAACGGCAGCCTTGATTTTTCAAAGAATGTTCCTGAACGAATGGACATTCGTTTCTTGCAATGTGTGCATCGGAAAACAAATCCATCCGGACTGCGCGAGAACTCCTGTATATTCATGGTACGAGCACAAGCACAGGTAAGCGTCCGAGGCAATACTCCACACACGCCTCTCCTTGAATCGGGTGTAGCATCCTGTACATTTTCGACCCGTCCGACATGTTTCAAGGTCGCAATTTAAAACAACCCGTGTAAAAATCGACTCTCTTGTATCATCAAAGAAAACATTGCTTTATATATTAAAATTATCTAAAAAAATATCTAAACCATTTAACAGCATCCGCTTCTCTAATGACCCAAGATTAAGCAAACAGCTGTGGGGGGGTTGCCGGATGGTAACGTGCGCCCTGAACTGAACTGAACTGAACTGAACTGAACTGAAAAAGTGGAATATCTACCG